TTAGGTTTCAGTCATGGGTATCTGAATATCTTTCCGCTTATATGAATATAACTTAAATGTGCAATTAAAATTCAAATACAGCAGGCACTTGTGACACTAGCTTTTCGCGTAGCTCAGCTGAACTGAAACGAACTCGTCGTAATGGGTGGGCAAATAACGCGATGTGACTTCGAATGGTCTTACACTGCCGAGCCACATGCAACCAGACGAAAAGAAATTCTTGGTGAGTAACATGCCTTTTTTGCAGCCAGTATGTTAGCTAGGTCTTTAAATGAGTTGTTGCTAAACAACTTTCTCCGGCGGGAGCATTTACAACACGAGTACAACACGAGTCAAATGAGAGACTTTCTCTGGACAATTTCTACTGCCGCTGCTTCAGAATTAAGAAAACATCAGTCTGCAGCTTATCATTTCATATTTTGTTGACTTACATTTGTAAGATGACATATATATGGCAGTGCATAGCCTGCAGCTATAGTTGAAGGTACCTCTGGTTGCATAACGATTTTTCAGGTCTACAGGTGCATTTTGTCTCATAAGATGTTTTGTTTTCAGTCAACAAAATTTATCACCCCTCAGCAAGAAATGCGTATATGTCCTGTTAGAACTGTTAAAGAAACGTTTTTTTTGTTGTAAACTGAGATAGAACCTCCATCAAATTTAATAGCGTGCAAGATAGCGGCCGTGAATTTGTGAATTCGTGCGAGTTAGCTCGTCCAACCGTTTTGCAAGATCTACAGATATTTAGCTATTGACACGTATTGATATGCTTTCACGGCTTAAAGGTTAAAACAAATATGGGCGTATTATAGAGCAGAAAACTATCTGACTGTAACTGCCTTGTAGATATGTGATATATTTTCGCCAGGGCCAAATTTATTTTAATGTATTCAGCCAGGCATGTATTATTTTCACTCGTTGCAGTTTTACAATTATTTGACGTATTAGAAATATATTTTCAGATTATAACGTACATGTATAAATTAAATCGACGCAAGACATCTGGCTCGGTTAATTTTAATATCATGGGCACTTCTGCTCACTGACATATGTATAATTTCAACGGGAATATTTTTTTCTTCAGTATTTCGGTCTCTAACGTCGTAAGAACCCACAGGTTACAATTGCAAGAAAGCGCAATGAAGTGAGCGAATGGTTTCGTTTCCCTGTGCAATCTAGTTTTTATCATCAACTTTCAAAAATGTCTTAATTTTCACTGCGTCATGATCATGGACTTTGAGTTCCAAAACTGAAGCCAAGCTTACCTTAATAACCTTGCGTGATTGGTTGAAAAAGTTTATACCACTTAATTACTCAAACAATCAGATACGAAACGCAACAAATCCTGACTTAGAAGCCGGGCTTCTCGGAGTTTGAGCACATTTGCTTGAAATGCGTATCGCCGCGAGTTATATAATTAATTGTTTTGTTTTCGATCGTTAATATTAGTCATTGTTACTGCATTTTGATTTTACGGTAAGATTGTCAACAGAAATCCACTCATAAATAAAACGAACTCCTTGATGAACGAAATCCNGATTGTTTCAGCAGGAGGGAAGAGCTTCCTACCGAAACGCTCGACAACTTAATCGCTGAATTAAAAAGAACCTTGGCAAAGAGCTGCAATTTATGCGATTTTTTTACGATTTTTTACACGATACTCGCATCTGCGTTCGACTGGTCTTGGGATGAAACATGAGCAAAGCACAAAGCAGCCACCTAGGATGACAGACCCCACGTTAAACAAGTGTATCGACCTTCCAGCATTCGAGATGAAAATATAGGGATCTTAACAATGACGACGGCGACGCCGAGGACAACGCCTTGTAAAATTGAATTTGTCCAGGATGTCTATGGCTCTAAAACCTCGCTCGGGCTAAATATGTAATGACAGCGTTCAATTCTAAATGGAAATATGAAAAGTTAGCACTTCGACTCATCGTTCGCGTTCGCGGTCATTTTGCGTTGCTGTTTTGCAGAGCACGCGTATGAAATGTGCAAAGGTTTTCTGAAGACGCTTGTACAGCCTTTGTTTTGCTCATTAAACCTTTTGTTTGGTGGTGCTCGTTAACGTCGTGGTTTGCTCCAGACTCTGTTCACATGTACACTACGCCGGAGGAATTTAAAAACCGTCATAGAGCTTTATTTTTACGGTTAGGCCTACGGTCCGACACGAAAACGGAGCTTTTCGTAAACACTCTTCAAATCGGAGGAATTTGTAAAACGCCGCCGCTTTGAGTTTTCTTGCGGACGGAAAACATTTTAAAACGGACCTTTTTGAACACGATAGGATCAGCGAACCACGTGATTTCCCTGGCCGAGATTTCTTCAAACAAAAATATAAAACGACCGGTGATTGTTGCGTTTTTAATTTCCCCCGGTGTACGTAGTGTGGATGACCAGGCCGAAGCTTTCTAGGCGCCTAATGAAGCCAATAATCAGACGGCGTTCTTCAATGAGTCCAAAGAGAAAAAAAATCGCAGGAGGTCTCGCGCAAAGGAGAAATGCATCATAAATAAACACCGTAAACAAAATAAATATTTAGGAGTGAGTTAAATATTCGTTATATGTTACTAGGATTATCACGAAGGCTGGTGGCTAAATAAAGTTTTACTTAACTTACTTATCAGAAGGAACCTGGAACACATTTAAGAAAAACTCTTGTTATTCATTAGTTAGAGATCATCTGTGTGGGATTCACATACCCAAAAGGAAATTCATGACATCCAGATCTTGATTATAAAATACAATTTACTGTTATCGAATACCAGGGTATGTGATTCGCATATCCAAAAGGAAATTCATGACATCTAGATCTAAGGTGTACAACGACAAGTATGTGACCGTTCTCTTGAATGACCTAATAATGATAACGCATCTCATTAAATCGGTTCCGCAACCATTTCTCTTTAAATCAGTTGTTATCAGTTCATGTGGAACCAAGCAGGCTATTCACCTGATACATACTACTTCCGCCACGGTCGCTATATATAACATGCAACATTCGTTAGATTTAGAACTATTAAGATTACAGAAAATGGATATCGGAGCATGACGGTTATAACTTATTTCTTCTGTAATCTTTGGAGATCAAGTGCTTTTCCCTTGTCTACTCTCAGAGAGTTCACACGTATTTTATTTTGTGTTTTAGTCGGTTTTCGATTTGCTAAAATGTCTCCTGCAAACGAAAATTAATCATCTTTGGCTAGTCGACTCAATTACTTGGACACGAAGGATCGATTCAAGTGGTTTGAGGATTATAAAGATTTGATTTGTCTGGTCAAGACATTACTCGAGTTTACGGAAGATGACGCAATCTCATAAGATCCAGCCCATAAAATGTTTTTCCTAATACTTTAACTCCTAAAATGGCTAAAAATCACGAGATAAGTGTATATTTTTCGACAAACGCGATCTTAGCTTCATGTCACGCACCGCCGTAACTCCGAAATTCAAAATGCGCTTGTTTCCAAACGAAGGACGCTATTGAGCTGGAAAGTTGTAACCTGATATAAATTTAGTACCTCTTATGCCTGATGAGGATAAAACCTTTAGTGGTTCACTAGTTTTGGATTTGAGAATTTGATGACGTCACGTGAACACATTCTATAGATACGCTATGATACAGTTTCTCACCTCCGCAGAGGCTCAAAGGGGTTTTTTTCAGCTGGGAAGGATTCGCTGAGTAATGCAAGTGGAGGCAAAGGGTTACCGGCCACGGCGGAAAGCAATCCATTCGACTTTGAGCCTGCACTCACTTCGCACAGCGGATTTTATATAACGAACGTTCGAACCTCTGCGAGTGGAATTAGAATTTTGGCGCGTCATTCCACTGATTATATAAACAAGAGGGCATGTATTTTAGGCGTGACATGTGGCTAGATTTTTAACCATTCCGTTCCACAAGTTTTCTAAGAATCCGTTTAATACAAACTCATAGAAATATCAAATATGGGACCGTAAACTTGCCAATTTTTACAAAGAAACGTATGCCTGGGGGCAGGGGGCAAGCGTTGCATCGTGTGTCAAGCGTGCCAAGCGTTGCCAAGCGTGACATCGTCTGAAAGGTCCATTAACTTCAATTTAGTCGAAGAATTCTTCTTCTACATCACCAGGGACCGAGGAGATCATTTTAAAGTGCTAGGGTTAAAAATCTCTCGGGGACTTAAACAAGCATTAGGGGTTACTGGTCGGCCGCTTTGTTATGTATTCAAGTGGTAAAATCCATGCATTATCAGAAGCCAACTGGAACATAAACTGATCAACCCAACTTAAGCAAAAGGAGTGTCCCTCTCTGTGGTCCCTGATCACGGGCACTTCTTAAATTACTTATGCTTTAATGGATCAATCCTACCACTGACTACCATTCTCCATCAAACTATGTTGCATTGAGTCATCAAAGTTTAACTGCTGTAAAGTTTCGGAATACCTTCTTAAATTCAGCTTGTAGAAATAGTTCAAGCATGACATTGGATTTGCATAAAAGAGTTATATTTGGTACTTTTTCGGAGTCTGTTTCATTATGACGGCGAAAAGGCAACGATAACAGGTGTATAAAATAGTCCCGGATCCTAAATCACTTAGCTTAGAGGCTCCGGCTGCACCTGTTAGACTGTTTGTTGTCTTGTCATGCGTGCCTTCGGGTTTCGATGTCTAACTATGAATACATTACGCTATTATACCAAATTTTTAATTCAACAACAACATAAACTTTTATCGATCGAATAGTCAAGCTGTCTCACGCGTTTTTCATTCTTTATTGTCGTCGGTGAATACCGATCATGTTGACTGTCGTGTAGAAATCGCCTTAACTTTATAACCTGTTTTGATATATGTTGTTAATATTTTTAGTGAGCGAAGCGCAATAAACAGGCATATAATAACATATGGATGATGTCGCAATTAGGTTTCAGTCATGGGTATCTGAATATCTTTCCGCTTATATGAATATAACTTAAATGTGCAATTAAAATTCAAATACAGCAGGCACTTGTGACACTAGCTTTTCGCGTAGCTCAGCTGAACTGAAACGAACTCGTCGTAATGGGTGGGCAAATAACGCGATGTGACTTCGAATGGTCTTACACTGCCGAGCCACATGCAACCAGACGAAAAGAAATTCTTGGTGAGTAACATGCCTTTTTTGCAGCCAGTATGTTAGCTAGGTCTTTAAATGAGTTGTTGCTAAACAACTTTCTCCGGCGGGAGCATTTACAACACGAGTACAACACGAGTCAAATGAGAGACTTTCTCTGGACAATTTCTACTGCCGCTGCTTCAGAATTAAGAAAACATCAGTCTGCAGCTTATCATTTCATATTTTGTTGACTTACATTTGTAAGATGACATATATATGGCAGTGCATAGCCTGCAGCTATAGTTGAAGGTACCTCTGGTTGCATAACGATTTTTCAGGTCTACAGGTGCATTTTGTCTCATAAGATGTTTTGTTTTCAGTCAACAAAATTTATCACCCCTCAGCAAGAAATGCGTATATGTCCTGTTAGAACTGTTAAAGAAACGTTTTTTTTGTTGTAAACTGAGATAGAACCTCCATCAAATTTAATAGCGTGCAAGATAGCGGCCGTGAATTTGTGAATTCGTGCGAGTTAGCTCGTCCAACCGTTTTGCAAGATCTACAGATATTTAGCTATTGACACGTATTGATATGCTTTCACGGCTTAAAGGTTAAAACAAATATGGGCGTATTATAGAGCAGAAAACTATCTGACTGTAACTGCCTTGTAGATATGTGATATATTTTCGCCAGGGCCAAATTTATTTTAATGTATTCAGCCAGGCATGTATTATTTTCACTCGTTGCAGTTTTACAATTATTTGACGTATTAGAAATATATTTTCAGATTATAACGTACATGTATAAATTAAATCGACGCAAGACATCTGGCTCGGTTAATTTTAATATCATGGGCACTTCTGCTCACTGACATATGTATAATTTCAACGGGAATATTTTTTTCTTCAGTATTTCGGTCTCTAACGTCGTAAGAACCCACAGGTTACAATTGCAAGAAAGCGCAATGAAGTGAGCGAATGGTTTCGTTTCCCTGTGCAATCTAGTTTTTATCATCAACTTTCAAAAATGTCTTAATTTTCACTGCGTCATGATCATGGACTTTGAGTTCCAAAACTGAAGCCAAGCTTACCTTAATAACCTTGCGTGATTGGTTGAAAAAGTTTATACCACTTAATTACTCAAACAATCAGATACGAAACGCAACAAATCCTGACTTAGAAGCCGGGCTTCTCGGAGTTTGAGCACATTTGCTTGAAATGCGTATCGCCGCGAGTTATATAATTAATTGTTTTGTTTTCGATCGTTAATATTAGTCATTGTTACTGCATTTTGATTTTACGGTAAGATTGTCAACAGAAATCCACTCATAAATAAAACGAACTCCTTGATGAACGAAATCCACTCTAATTCCGGGGCGGGGGCGGGGAGAGCCTTTTCGTAGCAGGCGTTCCCACGTCCTCGGAAACCCAGGGGCAGCTTGTTGGAAAGATGCGATACCAACTAGCTGGCCCTGGGTCTCCAGGGATGGCGTTCCCGCGGTTTGGAGTGCAGAAAAAAATGGCGAGAGTAATTAATTGACAATTAAGAAAAGGGAACATTTGCCAGCAGAGCCCGTAATTCTGAAAAACGCCGGGCCTCTCGACTTTCACGGTTGAATTCATTCATAGATTGACAGCCCGTAATACAGTCACTTTAAAGAAAGCTGGTCGACGCATTATTAGTAATGGCAATAGAACTGAGTGGAGTCCTATTCGGTCTGTTATCATAAGGATGATAACAAAATCAAACGACCGCGCAACGGGAGTCCGATTTGTTTATCACTCGTATGATTACAGACCGAATTGGACGACACGAAGTCTAATTACCAATTAATCATAAAAATTACGATTTCTGAGAAAAGAAGAATAGAAAGAAAGGGAAAATTTGCATTAAAAGACTGACAAAGGAGGCGTTAATTGTTGGTGATTGAAACCAAGGTTGTGATTGGTTGATTTAGACCACAACTTTGAATGTGATTGGCTAATCGTCTCGGTCCCTAAACACGCAAAAAAAAAAAGAACTTGGCCAATATCCAGCCATCTTGACCTCACACTTGGTCAATAACCCATACATCCAATAACAAGCTGTCCGATAACAACTTGGCATGTGCATAAGTGGAAAATAGGAGTTTTTCAACCAATCACAATCAAGGAAATTGTAATTTTTATGATTATGTCAGTTATATGGCTGAACTGGTCCGTGAGGAAAGAGAATTAGCCCTTTAAATTTACTGATAGATCTTTCTTCTCAAAACCATTTTCTTTTCTTTTTCTTTCCGTTTGTGTTCGTTAGCTAAGTACCCCGAGATCAAGAAACTGATGGGCAGTGATCCTCGGTTCAAGTACGAAATCTTGGCCTTAATACTGTTGCAATTCACCCTGGCGTACTTGATGCAGGATGTGTCCTGGACGACTCTCTTTCTAGCAGCTTACTTCATTGGCGCCTTTCCCAGTCACTCGCTGATTGTCGGGGTTCACGACATCTGCCATAACATCCCGTTTGGAAATGGTCGGCCTCTCCAGAACAGACTGTTCGGGATCTTGGCAAACCTTCCCACAGCGATTCCTTCGTCCGTGGCGTTTAAAAAATATCACATTTTGCACCACCGCTACATGGGCGTGGAAGAAATTGATCCCGACTTGCCGACAAGTTTTGAAGCCCGAATGTTCTACAACTCCGTCACTAAGCTTGTGTGGGTGATTCTTCAGCCGTTCTGGTATGCCTTGAGGCCTCTCGTCATCAATCCTATGGCTCCTAAAGGCTTAGAAATCCTTAACATTGTTGTTCAGTTTAGCGTCAATTACATTGTGGTTCACTTCTGGGGCATTAAACCGCTCGTGTACATGTTTGCGAGCACCATTCTTGGGGCGGGGCTACATCCAATGGCGGGCCACTTTATTGCCGAGCATTACATGTTTGAGAAAGGTTGCGAAACCTACTCCTACTATGGGCCAGGAAACTATTTGACGTTCAACGTCGGTTATCATAATGAGCATCATGATTTTCCAAGTATTCCAGGATCACGGCTTCCTTTGGTGAAAAAAATCGCCGCAGAATACTATGATCACTTACCATACCACACGTCCTGGATCAAAGTGATCTGGGATTTCATCACAGATCCCAGAATTGGTCCCTATGCTCGAATCAAGAGACCCAACCCTAAAAAGACTCAATGAACAGGCAAACTTCAGCCTCGGGGTCTTCAACTTGACAAACTGGCGGGTGGGTGACGAGCCGCCATTTTGAAAATCGTCGAGGAGAAGACCCTGGGGACGGGATTGACCAGTCCAGATGACAGGAGACTACGAGTAGTCCCGCTTTCGCTTAGTCCGTCGTGCGTGACGCGAAAGAAAAGCGCGAGAAAAAAATGGCCGCGCGAAATCCTGGTGGCAGGGACCGCCTAAGCTCAAAAGTTTGCCCTTTCACGACCGAGTGATTTTTCGGTGTAGGATTTCTCATCTTGACGTCCTCCTATTATCGAATGTTGTCATTAACCTCCTTTCGTGCACTCCTCGCCTCCAGGATTTCGCACGGCCATTTTTTTCTCGCGGTTTTCTTTCTTGCTAGTGTGAACGCGGCATTGGTCTCAGTCTCAAGTAAAATAGTCACAAATGCCAGTGGGAACATGAACTATCGACAGGTCTGTGCATTCTTTCATTTTCACTTCAGCATTTTCCTACTGGTATTCCGATCTTTTGTGAATATTTTAGATTTAGACTGACACTGCACAGATGAGTCTTCAGTCTTCTTATTCAGCGCAACTGGACTATTCGAGAAGAGGGGAGAAAAAATTGCCGTGCTTTTTCTTCGTTTCATGAGTCAATTGCTAATAACCATAGTTAATTTTTGCTCAAATTAGTGAGCTCACAATCTTATCACAGTGTCTGACAGATGAATTAGTATCACGTGTTAACTTGAAATATATATAAAAAGTTCTAACTTGAAATGCACGATCGCGTTAAATTTCTCAATGTTGTCTCTGCAAGTATATTTGGAAGTTGGTTCTGAAATAATTTATCTGAATGTTCAAGAGAAAAAGATTTGCTAGTCAACGATCTCCTTTTAAGTGCTAAACGAAACGTCTACACCAGTACAGTGTTACTGTAGGCGGAAACTTAGTCGCCATTTACAAGAGTCAATAAAGTTTCTCGTTGCATTGTGCTCATATTCTCAAAGCTTTCATTGTTCTGTCTTGCACAAAATAGTTTAAATTCTTCAAGCAGTTCTTGAAGGCTGCTCTTTAGTCTCGCTAAAACATCTTCATCCTGTGTGACAAAGGTCAACTGCCTTAACTGTTCTAACAAATCCCCGCATTTTTCTCCTGCATCCGCATCGGAGAGAGCTACATTTCTGCCATGTGGAATGGCATTTGTGTCATCGGGAATGATATTTGTGTCATCAGAGACGACCTCAGTGGGTAACTCGTCTAACGAGCCATTGAGAGTTTCACTGGCAGATAACGGTTGATCTACTGGCATGCCGCTTTCCTGATTCAAATCCCGATTCTTTACTTTGCCTCGAAATATATGCGTGTGGTTGTCTTTCTTTGTTGGATAAAATCGCCTGTTTGTGGGTTGAGGTAATTCCTTGTCCGTGAATAACACATTTTCAACAATGCTGATGTTTGACTTGACTGACMTTGGTCAAGCCTTCTGCTACCAACTCCTGAATTCTGTTGATGACACGCTTATCAACAGTTTGACACATTCCTCCAGCCTGTCAAGAGAAGAAAGGAAAACAAGAGACAAATACTCTCAAAATTTAGGAATTCTTTTCAATACCTACAACGCCTTCTCTACCATAATTTTTAAACACGGCATTCATGGAAACCAGGATTTTTCTTAAGTGGCATATTAATGTAAGTTAATGTAATGTTAGGATTTGGATTTTTAGTCATTATTATGTAATTTTTTCTACCTGATGTTTTTACCGTGTATTAATAATGATTAAAGATTAAAGATTAAAGATTAAATATTTTACGTAAGAAAAAAATCTTGGCATGTTTTGGAAAACCTGGATATAGCTGAAAAATTCAGTTGACCTGCCCCTTTTTAACACTATTTTGTATCGTTCTTGTTAATCTGCACCTCTTTGTTCTTGGTGCTAGGGGTATTGTTTGTGCTGTTTACCTCTTGCTTTGTTTGAACAATTATAAAGAATTAACTTTGTCAACGGTGTAGGTCGCCCCCGAAAAAAAAAATTATTGACAATTTTGGGAAATATTCCTTAGGATTCTAGGCTCAATTTCTGCCGCTCACAGGAGTTTGGTCTACATTTCTCTTCGAGAAGAGAGGTTGGGGAGGAATGCAGGCTCCTTTCTTGAACAGCGGCTGGTCATCGAATCTATAGGAATTCCTAATAATATTTCAAAGAGCAAACATGGGCTGGTTAAAACATGTGAGAATTTTTTCTTGCATAATATTCTTGTCAAAGTCTTGCAATTGTTTGGTAATCCCAGAAATTTCTACAAATTTCCACACGGATACAAGCCATTCCTAAACAGTCCGACCAGTTCCGCAACTTGTGGGTATTTTACATACATATACACATGTACATACACTTTATTTCCTCTCGAATTTTAGGTAGTTTAAGAGTTGCACCTAATATATCCCCTGACTGGGAAAAAACTGAGAAGGCAAAGAAGACCTGTTGACATTTTAAGCCATCTGAGAGGTTCAAATGTACCTTAAAAATTACTCAATCAAATGTACCTCGCCCACTGGGTGATTCTGGTGATCTGAAGTAGAAGGGTATTCCATGTATATTCGTCTTTCTGGATTAGCAGTCCCTGCTTGTAGTGCTATTCTTAGTTTTCTGGATGACAAATCTGTCCTCCTTGGGGTATCCTTGGCAATCTGTTACAAGGACAATCTGATTTTACATATTATTTCATTCTGCAATGGTTATAAATTCTACAGTCAGCTACACCTCTGTGAAAAGAAAGGGGGAAACCCTTATATGTCACAATAACATAACAACTGTTTAGTTTTATATTTGGAGGAGGCATTGCATCCAAATGTAACCAAAAAACTACATGGTTCAGTAGGAAAGACCATCTCTTTAAAAAATAACTCACCAATGGAAGCATTTTCCATCTGATGTTAATTTGGGGTGGTTACTGTGGAAGAGCTTGTTGTTGTTTATTTACTATTTTGGTGCAAGTTTCCATAAATAACTTTACAAATGCTGTGTATGGGTAGGTTAAAATGTCTTGTAGTTGCATAGCTGCACCTTGGCGTTTGCATAACTTTTGTAACTTCATTACTTTTTTATATTAAGTTACGATTAACATTTCTATTGATTTATTTTTGAAAATAAGTTGTGCCATATTTGATTTTCCCAAATCCATTTCTGATTAGGTTCTCACCTTAAATTCTGGAAATACTAAAAATTTCTCTGAGCTTTATTCATGCTGTGCAATTTTGTTTCTTTGTGTTTTGGACAACTCTGGACTGTTTCTTGGACATGATGCCTCCAGTCTGTAAAAAGGAAACACTAACTTATCAGAAGCTTGTCACCTCAAAAACGATGATAAACTTCTGATCATGATGATAAATAATAATTATAAATTTATAATAATCACATTTTTATAACTTTTAAATAACTTAAAATACGTGCACGACACTAACAGCAGTCTAAAATTTCGTTTTTTAACTGTATTTTCATGTGTATATGACAAGCAAACTGCAAAAAAAAGGATTCATTTAAATACTACAGCAACTTTAATATACCCAAGAAAAGGATTAAGGGAAGCTGGTCAGGGGTGCAGCTTGCAATTAAAGTAGATCACACACAAAAAAAGAAAGTGAATCGAGTGCTAAAGGCAAGCCTCTGACAAGGTTTTCGAGCATTCCATTCCAGGAAATTTGGCTTGGAAGTGCCATTTTTTTGGCCTCAGACAAAAATTGGGCTCAGTTTTGACCCAGCCAACCCGTTTTTAAATCGACCCTTCAACCCATAATATTTTGTAATTTTACTAAAACAAACCTCGCCTGTGTTTTGTCTTTCATTCTTTGTTTTGATGCTGCCTTCCTATCTACACCATGCTGGCAGTCATACAACTTACAACCCAAATATATGAATGGCACAGCTGTAAAAGTGATTTTGGCCCCTTCGGCATCTTTCCTGTCCTCCCAGCATACTTTGTGTGGCCTTTGATTGTAATCTATAAGAAATAGCAATTGTTACTGTAATATATCTACAAAATTTGCCTCAGATTAATTCTGACTCTGTTATCATGTACTAGTAAAACACCAGTCATGGCAAACAACAGCTAATAGAAGCTTATAAAACAGTAACTCCTAATCAAACAAATTGGTTATTCCCTAGTCTTGATATTTATTCTTCTCACAGTCTCCAGTATTTTGCACTGTCAGTGTAAAACACAGACTGCAGACTGCAGACTGGGTAAAATGCAGACTGAGGTTAAAATGGAGACTACAGGCCAGGGGTAAAATGCAGACTGCAGACTACAGACTTTTTAAGTAAGCTTATACATTGTGCTATTTCCATTCTCGAGTACTAACCATAAACAGGGTCATTTAGGCTAATCGTAAAGAATAACGCTCCGGTTACCCTGCTTATGATTAGCCCTCAATGATAGAAATGGTAACACGATTCAGTTAAAAAGTCAACCGTCTGCATTTTATCCGTTGTCTGCAGTCTGCATTTTACCCCCAGTGTTCATTTTACCCCCGGTCTGCAGTCCACAGTTCGCAGTCTGCAGTCTTCGTTTTACACTGACCGGT